AGGTCGGTAGACTTGTATTGAATCGTTCTCCGCTGAAACGATGTCAACGTGGGCAGGAATGTGAAATTTAGACTGAAGGTCAGATATTTCCTTCAACCCCATGACTGATAGCACCTGCTCAGGAGCCGGGGCAGGTTCTTTCTGAAAGTCATTTCTGACCGACGGATTCCGAGGGATTATCTCCTCCACGGTAGGAAAACTTTCATCTTCTGCAACTGTGGGTTCGTCGTTATCGGAAGGCATAACTACCGATAAAGGGGTGACATCGGAAGCTATATCAGAAGTGTGATGGGGGTTTGTCATTTCTGCAATAAACGCGTGTACAGTAGAACCGGTGGAAGGGAATCAACGCGAAATGTATGGTTAACGGAAAGCTGGAGCTGAGAAGCAAAAGGAAATCGGAAGCAAGGGTCAGAGAAGAAACAGAAGACCAAGCAAAATACCAAATAAGTATGAAATTCAAAAGCCTCGTCTTTGAACCTCCCTTCCCCCATTTGTAAGGTATTATGGCCCCAATATCGATGCAAGAAATTGTCACTGACACTAAGATCGAAGCAACAGAGGAACTGGAAATGATGCATTGCATCGGGAAGATGGGTAATGATGACGCGCGTGGTCATGACATCATCCTATGTTAGCCACGCCAACCATAACCTTTGAGCCGATCCTTCACCAACGCGACCTCGACTAATTCAGCCTGTCCACCATGGAGGAACATTTTTGCGATTAGATACAGATGAAATCCGCTCATCAAGGACTCCCAGGAAGATGACCTCAATAAGCGGAGAGACTAACTGTATGGGTCAAAATTCGGTCTAGCGTGGCGAGTGCAAATAGACGAGCTGAGGCCGAGGTCGAGATTACGTACGGTCTTGTGTCGAGGAGTCGCTCAAAGGGGAAGATTAGTGCCGAGGTTGGGTACAGAGCAATGACTACAATTGTTAAAACGTTCCTGCGACTATGAATAGGAATATTCTGTTGAATATTCCCTCACATTGTACTTTTCTAGGGTTTTCTATGAATATCCCTTATAAATAGGAAGAGATTGAGAACATAAGGGGGGATTCGAAACTTCTGTAAAGAAAAAACATCTTGTAAAAGGGCTGACTATCAAGAATATACAAAAAGCTTGTCTTGTCTCTTTTGCTTGATTCCATCATCAACATTCTTCTTAAGTTCACAAGATCCGAGGGCACATTGTTCTCTATCATTGCATGCTGTCAGACGTTGTCTCTGAAGAAGGAAGCATCCACCTCATCCTACATTTGGGTGACTTATTACTTCTTATTTCGTTAAATGCCTTTCACCACATTTATTGCATGCATTCTTTCTCATATTTATATCTAATCATTGAGCATTAACTCGACATTTTATTGATTAGAACACGGTTCACACCATCTAAGTTGCTAAATTTTGGATCTAGGATTTATTACTTTTACTTGAATTCACGCCTTATCCATTTATTAAAATTGGTTTAACTAAAAAGGGTGTAACAATTTTTGGTCAAACATAACCTACCAATAATATGTACATCTCGTTTTCTCTTAAAATACAATTTATAGTTCTATACTCCAAATGGTTCAAATAATAAGTTACTTACTATCATACTATCAGAATAATCACAAATACTACTGATTGAAAGATTAGAGAGAAACTGCAACTTAAAATTTTTATTATTCAGAGTTACAGGACATCATCAATGCCTCAAAAATATTTTTATTTACATATATATATATTCTTACAGATAGTAACAAAGGCACTGTAGTGTATTTTTAACTTTTTTGGTTATTGTGGTATTTATCTTATACTCCTATTTAACATGCTGGACAGGTCACTCGCTTAGATTACTTTCTGCTACTTTTAACTTTTGACTTAATCTGTATTTTCGCATTCCAGTTTTCTGCAAATACTTGGTAATTTACCGTACAACACATTAAACTTTTTCCTCTATATAGCACCAAAATCGACTAGTAAATGGGTGGATCAAGAAGATTTGTGACCAAAAACCAAAATTTAATTTGCGGCCTTTTGGAAAAAAAATTATTTATATTTTTATTTGAATTCTATTTTTCTAGTTTTTTGAAATAAAAAGTTGTTAATAATTTATTTACAAAGTAATTTATTTAAGATATTGTTAATCTTAGGTAATAGAACGAGATTCAAGAAGTTGACAACTTTATACCGAAATAATATTTTGATATTCCAATATACTTGTAGAAACGCTTGAAATCTTAGAAAAAAAAATGCAATATAGTTTTATTCAATTATACTCTTCGGCTCTTGTTTTTTATAGAAAAAAATAAAAACTCTTTTCTTTTTACATAACAATATAACTTATCGAAAACTAAAGTTTTTTTGTAAAAACTAAGAAAGAAAATATAAGAATGAAGTACATGTTTTCTGATGAGAAAGATAAAAAATAAGTCTTGGACTACTGAAGATGCCAAAAAAGCGGACTCTAAAAGTTTATTACATGTTTTTACTAGTGAGAGATGTAAAAGGAGAAAAATTATATAGGTACCTCACTAATGATGTCAATCGTAAAATTTAAATAATGAAATTTTTTATATTCGCGGTAAGGGTTTAGGGGGGTGATTTTCTTAGTCCAATTTTTGCTCAAACAATTTCATCAATACTAAACTAAAAGTTACTTTTAGTTTTTATAAAATATTTTATTTTGGAATACTCAATATAATTGGGCCCTACCTCTAAAAATTGTGATGACATGAATATGATCCAACTTACTTTAATTGGTATTGGGTTCGAGCCCTGTGGAAAGATTATGGCCTCATTTATATTTTTTTAAGATTAAGACGTCTGAATCTGAATATCAAAATGTGCATTAAGATTAAGACATCTGAATCTGAATACATATCCGAATATATTAAGATGTATATTAAGATCTGAATAGAAATAGTTAAGACTGTTTGATTTTTAACATCTGAATGTATAAAATTTATCTTTATTGAAAATTAATAAACATAAAATTCAAATGAAATACTAACTAATCTGAAATTCTATAAATAAAATATATAGTGTTTTAAAATACGATAGTTGTTGGTGGTGATGGCTAACAGGTGAATGCCAACTAGAGGTGGTGGTTGGTGGTAGTTTTGGTTGATGATGGTGGTTCATGCTAGTAGCTAGTAGTGATTGGTAGTGATGGCAATTATGATTAAGGATGGTGGTGGTGGGTGGTGATTGATAATAATGGCGGGTGGTGGTAGTAGTTGTGACTGATGAAGGTGGTGGGCTGGTTGTGGTAAGTTATAATGATGGGCAGTGCTGGCTGTGGTTGTTGATGGTGATGGGGTGGTCAGTTGTGCTAGTTGAGGGGGATGAGTGTTGATTGTGGGTGAGAATGATTATGGTAGTCGGAGTGGTGGGGATAGTGGGTGGTGATGGTCGATAATAGTGGCGGCTATGATTGAGGATGATGGTGGCGTGGTGGTGGTGGTGGTGGTTGAGTATGGTGGTGGTGGTGGCATGGTGTAGTTGATAATGGTAGGCGGTGGCGGCAGTTAATAATGAATATATGATAGCATCTTAATGAAATTAAGTCTCTGTTATAGATCTTAATCATACAAATCTATTCAGACCCAATAAGTGGTTGTGAAGTAAAAAAAACAAACACACTTAATGATTAAGATCTGAATAATTAAGATTTAGACTTGAAAAACAAAGCACTTAATGTCTGAGATCTGAATGATTAAGATTCAGACATCCATTAAGTGCAAACAAAAGAGACCTATGTTACTCTCTTTTAATAAGGTTTGCGCGTTACAAATCAAAATTAGTGAGGAGTCTCAATACAAATACCGCAAAAGGATAGAGAACAAAAAGAGAATTTTGTGGGCTAATTGCTTTAGTTGCTTGACCCTTCGACCGCCCCTGAGGCCTGAGCAAAAGTCGTTTCGTCTACTTAATGTTAGAGTTGATTAATAAATCAGTTATGGAACTCTCTCCTAATAAGTTTCTTGTGTCTAGCCAAATTATTTTACTAACTTTTTTTTTTTTTTTTTTTTGCATTTCCATTATTCTTCATAATCTGCTTTAACATTCACATATGTTAATTTTCCACCAAAAAATCTAACTTCATTTTTAAAGTGTTCTTTTGTTTCAGAGTTATGCGGAGCCACCCAGTTTCTCTTAATGCCAAGTAGTAGAAAAAATCCAGCAATTCTCAAAATCGATTTATCCTTTTTCTTTTTGGACTTCTTAATTATTAAAGAAAATGTTGGTCATAAGCTTTGAGAGTTTACTTTTACACCTAAATGAAGATTTTGGAGAGCAGGCTTTTGGATCGACAAAAAAAAGAAAAAAGAAAAAAAAAGAGCTAAAAAGCGAGTTCAAACTCATGTGACATGAAAACAATTAGCTTGTCAGCAATTAACAAAAAATTCACCAGTTACACTATAAGGGTCGATTGGTAGGATGCATTAGATAAAATAATATATGTATTAGCTTTGCGTATTAATAATATCTTGTTTGGTATACTTTTTGAACCTATACATTATTTATGCAAGCATTAGTTATACGCTCTATTTGGTAGTATGCTATGCATAACTAATGCATAAGAAACCATGGTAATGCAATGAGTTTTAATGCATGCATTAGCTTACTTAAAGACAAAATTGTCCTTCAAAATTGATGCTTGATTAAAAGATGCTATTATATTAATGCAAGTTTGAAATAATCCAAGAAAGTGGAAAATAAAATTATATCCCTAATAAATAAATAAATACTTAGCATATTTTCTTTTTTATAAATAAATATTCAGTTCTATACTACAATATAGGTAGATAAATCAAATACCTTTTTTTACAAACTTTTTTCATATAAAAATATTCCTCAACATATGGTTCTTTTAAAAGATAAAGTGATGGGTTGATTATGAGAGTATTTTTGTAAACAAATATTCTTTTAGAAATTGTGCAATACTTTAATACATCAAACCAAACAATGGATAAGAAATATATCAACATAACTAATACCAATATTATTAATACACCCTATTCACCGTTATTCTTATATACTCTACCAAACGACCCCTAAAAGAGATATGATGGAGCGTGTAACCCCACAAAAACTAACAAAGAACCATCTTTAAACTAAACTATATGCTAATATTAATCAAGACATTTTTTCAGAAGAAAATCTTTACCATGGAGCAGCTGCGAGTGCCTTGAATTTGAGCTCAAAACTCGTGTCTTTTACTGTTAAAGCCTCAATTTCAGAGTCTAACTTCTTTATCACTTGTTTCACTTTCAAAACCTTTTCTTCAAGATTCCTCATTTCCTCTTTTGCTTCAGCTAGTTTAACTCTCTTTGACACAAGAATATTATCTGATTCACATGACATGCTAATAAGCTTACTAAGCCTTGCACGTAAAAATCCAACATTCATGCCTAAACACTCGAACCCTTTCAATGTATTGTCCCAAGTCTCAAGATAATCACGAGGGATCGAAATTTTGGATGCTTTAATGGCATCAGCTATGTTCACAGTCTCAGTGATCATTCCAGCAGCTAGCTTGCAATTTAGTCCACCAAGTAAATGCTCATGGAGAAATGAATTTTGAGTGCAGCAAAGATCGTAGTATTTGGTCCGAATGTGTGCTGGAATCTCAGCGTCTATGATCAATCCATCCACAAGAATGTTGAAACCAGAGAAGTCCTTCACGTCTTTGAATTCAAGTCTTGATTCTGAAAATCTAATGCTTAAAACTTCAGAGCCATTATCGCTATCATTCTCACGTTGATCTGATGCAGGGCCTTGGTCTGAATCGGGTATCAATACGGCTTCTTCTTGTTTGATATCTTGATGAGTATCCAGCATATAGGAAATATATTCAAAATGGTCAATGCTCAAGTAGTATAGATTGATTTTGATGGAAATTAAAACTAGTGTTTGTAAATATACCTGACTTGATTGGTCTAGCATGAAGATCCAGATTTAGTAGACTAATAGCACCATCAATTTCTGTCAAGTTGTTTTCTCTTATTATATATACCTAAAAACAAGGGAAACGACAATTAGGCCATTGCTTTACTGTCCCTTTGGGGACACTATAAAATTGGAACAAACTAAAGAATATTAGCATTGTCACTTTAGATAAAAAGGCAGTCGAATGCACCAACTCCTGCTATGCGCAGGGCAGGGTCTGGAAAAAGACCGAACCATATTGTGTCTATTGTACGCAATAGCATGGCCACTTTAGGATGACACGAACAAATCGAAAAATGATTCTTGCTTTACCTGTGACAAAATGACCATAACTTTAAGCACTTTAAGGGATTACCTTAAATTTGCAGGGTTGGATCAATTGGAAGACTAAGACATCCCCTTCAAGCAGGTTGTGAGCAATGGAAAAACCTCTCCAACCCCCACTCAATCCATTCTTATCAATAAGGTACTTGGTAGAAAATTCTTCTTCATTTTCGTCCACCAAAACAACAGTATCATCATGCTTTGGCAAATAAGAGTCGCAAAATTTTCTTGGGAAACTCTGTTGTACCAAAATATCAAAAGAAAGACTATATCACCAAGAAAAGTTTCAATTTGTTCTAATTCTATCAAGACAAAAATTTGACTTACCAACCAAAATCCACGACTAACATGTGAATGGAGCATATACTTGACAAAACTAGGAAATTGAGAGGGCAAATTTGCTTGAACTTCTTCGGCCCGCAGCATGGCAGATGAGTTTGCATCAACAGTGCTAGTTTTGTATGTCTTCTTTTCAGGACTAGTAAAATCAAGAATCAAACACATTATAATATTAGCAAGTCCAGGAAATCTAATACATAAACCATTATGCATTTTCTCCACTGACCATATTTGAAGCTTTTTAGTGTCTCCATTTTTCACCTATTCAAGTATTTGTCAAGTACATTCCATTAGTTTGAAAGTGATTATCACCTTAAAATGAAACTTTTTGTTATCAACAAAAGGAGTAGACAATGATTCTTACCTTGTTGGTTTTACTTGGACCCAAAGCCCTTTTCCTGAGGAGTTTTTCCTTGATTTCTAGTGCCCTTTTCTGTATTAAGCCATTGAATGGGAGAAGAATCAAACATGGGGCTATCATTATAAGCAAAAGAATATGCAGATATTGAGAAAGAAAGAAAAAAAATAAGAGAAGAGAGAACCTTTGAGGAAGAAAGGAGAGGGCTTTTCTTGGAGGAATTCATAGCTGAGATTGCCATTTCTGTTAATAAGTGTCTGCTCCAACACTTCAGAAAATGTGGAATATATTTTTTGTTTGTTTGTGATGAAGGAAAGTAGAGAAAGGAGACAGTGGTCAATGAAGAAAATAGACCGTTTGGTTAAAATATTTTTATCTTTTACTTTTTCTAGAGAAGAATTTGAAGTGGAGATGTGACATGGTTGTTTGGGACAATCAAGAGGCCAAATTGGAGCCAAATTTTGAATCACTTGGCAGAGTACGTACTAGTTATGGAATGATTTGTTTCCTTTTCCCAATGCTATTTAAAAGAAATGCTTTTTTCACTCTTTCATATTCCTGGCCAATACCTGTTTGGACGAAAATGGTATTCAGGAAAGTTTCAACCCTTTTTATTTTATGGGTTGGGAAGGAAAATTGTTAATACTGCTATGAGAAAGTAACTTTTCTTGGACCTATTCTTTTTAGTTTCTATAGCTAGTGCCGAATAAGCTTCCGCTATGCTCGGGGTCCGGGAAAGGATCGAACCACAAGGGTCTATAGTACGCAGCCTTACCCGTGACCTCTTGGTCACATGGAAGCAATTTTACCGATGAGATGTGACATGAAAAAAGAAATGTATACACTTGTATGTCTTCATGGCTCATTCCACATATTAGTCAGACTCTGTTCAGAAATACAGTAAGCTACTAAGCTTGTTAGCAATTTACAAAAAATTTACTCCCCAACTACACTAGAAAAGGGATATAATGGACCGTGTAACCTCACAAAAGTTATACAGACTTGAGAATTCCTGATAGGAACCTAAAAGGCTTCTTGCCAAACTAAACTAGTAGTATATGCTAATATTAGGACATTTTTTCAGAAAAATCATGACCATGGAGCAGCTGCCACTGCCTTGAACTTGAGCTCAAAACTGGTATCTTTAGTTGTTAACTCTATTTCAGAATCTATATTCTTTATCACCCGTTTCACCTTCAAAAGCTTAGATTCAAGATTCCTCATTTCCTCTTTGGCTTCAGCTAGTTCATTTCTCTTTGATTCAAGACTCTGTTGTGATTCACTTGATAGGCTAACAAGCTTATTAAGCCTAGCACGTAAAAATCCAACTTCCATGCCTAAACACTCGAACCCTTTCAATGTATTGTCCCAAGTTTCAAGATAATCACAAGAGGTCGAAATATTGGAAGCTCTAATGGCATCAGCAATGTTCACAGTTTCTGTGATCATTCCAGCAGCTAGCTTGCAATTCAGGCCACCAAGTAAATGGTCATGGAGAAATGACTTCTGAGTGCAGCAAAGATCGTAGTATTTGGTCCAAATGTGAGCAGGAATCTCAGAGTCTATGATCAAACCATCTACAAGAATGTTAAAACCAGAAAAGTCCTTCACATCTTTGAATTCAAGTCTTGATTCTGAAAATCTAATGCCTAAAACTTCAGAGCTATTGTCACTATCATTTCCACATTGATCTGATGCAAGGCCGTGGTCTAAGTTTCGTACCAGTATGGTTTCTTCATTTTTGTCATCTTGATCAATATCTATAACAGAAGGCTCCAAGTATTTCTCCTCTTTTGCTTCACAAATTTTCATCTCTTCATCTGGATCTATTGAGAAAATATCAACAAATAGAAAGTTTAAGTGGTATATATTGATTGTGATAGATACTAAAACTATTGTTTGACTTTACCAGATATGATTGGTCTAGCACGAACATCCAGTTTTAGAAGACTAATAGCACCATCAATTTCTTGTTTGTCATCTTGATGAGTATCTAGGACAGGAGGCTCCAAGTACTTCTGCTCTTTTGCTTCACAAATTTTCATGTCCTCAATTCGATCTATGTGAAATAATATGAGCAAATGGAAAGTCAGGAAACCAAAATGGTTAAGTTCAAGTAGTACATAACATATTGGTAGTGATACAAATCAAAACTGGTGGTTGTGAGTTGTGACTATACCAGATTTGATTGGTCTAGCATGAAAATCCAGATTCAGAAGGCTAATAGCACCATCAAGTTCTGTCAAGGTACTTTCTCTTATTATATACACCTAAAACAGGGGAAATAATAATTAGAACATCGCTTAAGACATTGAATTAGTACTCAACAAACGAGATCTTGAATCAAGGAATAAAAAGCAAACTCTGTCAATCGGACCTCTTCAGAAGTACATAATTTCATACCATCTCTTTAGGGACATCAGATAAACTTGGAGAGTATAGATAATATTAGCATCCTCCTCTTTGGAATGACATGCGCAAACCAGGATTCAAGCACTTGTGTTACCTTAAATTTGCATGGTTGGATCAATTGAAAGATCAAGACATCCCCGTGAAGCAAGCTGTGTGCAATGGAGAAACCCCTCCAACCACCACTTAATCCAGTTTTATCAACAAGGTACTTGGTAGCATATTCTTGTTCATCCTCATCCACCAAAACAACAGTGTCGTCATGCTTTGGCAAATGGCGGTCACAAAATTTCTTTGGAAAACCCTGTTGTATTAAAGTACCACAAAGTAAAACTATAGCACCCAGTGGTGAATCTAGACTAGACCTAGTTGGGTCGACAGAACCTACTGCATCTTTATAAACAACAACAACAAATCCAGTATAATCCCACAAGTGGGGACTAGGGAGGGTAGTGTGTACGCAGACCAATAAACCTTACCCCTACCTTGTGAAGGTAGAGAAGCTGTTTCCGATACACCCTCGGCTCAAGTAACAGTGACAAGGAAAGGAACATATATGCATGCGAAAAAGATATCAGCACATATATAAAAAGTAAAACTTTAGCTGGCTGACTCTAAATCTTGAATTCGTCACTAATATTACCAACATTAGTTCCAATTTAGTTCTAATTCCATTAATAAAATATTTGACTTACCAACCAAAATCCACCAGCGACATGTGAAGGGAGTATAAACTTGACAAAACTAGGAAATTGAGAGGGCAAATTTGCTTGAACTTCTTCAGCCCGCAGCATAGCAGATGAGTTTGCATCAACAGTTCTAGGTTTGTTTGCCTTCTTTTCAGGGCTAATAAAATCAAGAATCAAAAGCATTATTAGAAAGATAACAAAACCATGAAACTTATTTTTTTTAAAATATGCATTTTTCAAAATTTTTTTCCAACTGACCATAGTTGGACCTTCTTATTATCTCCTTTTTCCCCCTGCTCAAGAAATATTCAAGTACATTCATTAGCTTAAAAGTGATTGTCACTTTAGAAAGATGAAGGAAAAATTAACATAAAAGGGTACTTCAGGTCACGGGTTCGAGCTGTGGTGACGGGTTCGAGATGTGGAAACAGCCTCTTGCAACCCTTACTCCGATGCCGCGCATAGCGGAAGCTTAATGCACCGAGCTGCCTTTTAATCAAAACAGAGTAGAAAATGGTTCTCACCTTATAGGTTTGACTTGGACCCAAAGCCCTTTTCCTTAGCAGTTTTTTCTTGATTTCTAGTGCTTTTTTCTGGTCAAGTTATAGAATGGGAGATTAAATAAATATGAGGGCACCATTTTAAGCAAAAGAACAGGCAGTAATATTCAGAAGAAAATATATAAAACTTGAAATTGGAAAAAATAAGACAAGGAATGAACCTTAGAAGAAGAAAGAAGAGGGCTTTTTTTGGAGGAATACATAGCTGAGATCGCCATATATTGTTTACAAGTGTTTGCTCAAACCTTCAGAGAAATGTACCACGTTTTGTTTGTGATGGAGGAAACTAGAGAAAAGGAGATAGTGGTGAAGAAATAGACCGTTTGGTTAAATCTTTCGTTTGGACATAAAAATTATAATTTAAAAAAATATTATTTGAAGTTAAGTTGAAAAATGATATTATTTCGAATTTGAAATTATGTTTGGACATGTATTTTATTTAAAAAAATATTATAGCTTTGTGAGTGGAGAAAAGAATTCTTTTGATTTCAATAACTTACAAAATTTCATGGACAAATATATATTTTTTTTAAAAAAATTGAAAAAAAATTCATGGACAACGGAGGCCTTAATTTATCTTGAAAAGAAATTGGATAGTGGAGATGTGACATGGCTGTTTGGGAGGTGAGAATAGGCCTAATTGGAGCCAAAATTTGAATGGGTTGACAGAGTACTATAACTGATACATACTAGGTATGGAATGATTTGTTTCCTTTTTCCAACGTGTTTTTCACCTTTCGTATTCCTACTCCCTAGTTTGTTTTGAAAAAAAAGGTTATGCGAAAGGTTCAATATTTTTATTTTATTTATATTGTTTTTTATGCGAAGAAGGAAACCTGATAATCACTAGGAGAATGTAATATTTTCTTGGTGTTATAAATAAAATTTTATTTATGGTAAATGTCTATATTTAGAGAGATTCTAGAGTTTATTACTTGGTGGCTAAGTCACCCTCTTCCTATAAATAGAGGGTTCTATTTCATTGTAATTGATCCCAAATCAATAAGAATTCTCTCTCTTTCTCTGCAATACTCTTCTTCTTTTATTGTTCATAACACGTTATTAGCACGAGACTCTAACCAATTGAGATTGAGCATAATGATTGTCAATTGTTCCATGAACTTCCTTCATGATTAAATTCTGAATTTAAGGCAAGTATCTTACTTTATTTTTCTCTTTTAGATTCTTGACATTCTATAATTTGATTTTAAATAGTACAAGCAAAGACAATAAATCTTGATTTTAACTCTAATGGAGTTTGAAAGAAATTATAACCACCCAAAGTGGTAAAATTTCTATATCTTGCCATGATCAAATTCATGTATGATTGTGGGCAAAGAATTGAAAATCCGTCCCATTGAATTTGCTCCATTCTCATTCCCTTAAGAGAATGTGATAGCAATATGTAATAAGTCTAAAAGAAGACAAAATTATTACCATAAAGGTATCAATGGATGTGGACGTGGTAATAGACGAAATTATAATCGTCATTATCGTGGTAATGAGAATAATAAGGATTCTCAAAATAAGCCTTCACTCTATGAAGTTAATGTTTGTCATCAATTTGACATAAGATTTCGTAAAGCACATCTAGATGACTATGGTCAATTCATGATGTGAATGTGACAACATCTGATTTATGAATACATATTCATTCTTGGAAGAATATGAACGTGCTAGTGGTAG